GAGTGATCATCGCCTCGTCGCCTTCGTCGCCTCGTCTCCGTCGCGCCTCGAGTCGTTTCCGGGGGTACGGTACCCCCGATCGCACCGAAATTAGATTTCCCCGATTTCGACCACCTGTATGAAGGGGGAGCGTACCTGTTGCACCGGTACTTCCAATGTGTGCGAGATATACATTCGATAATCGGGCATATTCCTCGAGAAAACCAAATCATAGAAAACATTACTCGTCGGTCCTTGCGCGTTGTCTCGACGCGTATGTTCGTTTCGTTCGCTACATCTGTCTAATTACTTACGGCTCTATGACCGTTAATGTCGCATGTTATGCACGGAAGACGAATAAGAGACGGGCGCTTAATCCGTCCATGTCATCTTTCACAATGTTTCGTAGACGTTCCGAGAGAGGAGGATTCTTTTCGAATCGCTTGCTCAATAGCGAAGTATGATTGATGAATAAAACTTAAATCTCTCGACAGAAGATTATTTGGAGATATAGTTATGGAGGTATAGTTACGTCTTTCGTTGAATTTTATTTATCACACTTGGATTAAACGAATTTGATGGAAAAGTGTTACACGAGGTGTTGCACGTCGAAGTTGCCGAGTTGACAAAATTATTAGGCAAATTTGTTAGGAATTATCGTTAAAAATCTGGGTAGCAAGTTAGAATCTTGAAAAACTGTTTCAGCCGTGTGCAAGGAGGGCTGCCACCCCGTGCACGGTCACTGCAACGTCAGCGGCGAGTGTCAGTGTCGGCACGGCTGGCGCGGCGAACTGTGCGACCAGTGCATGCCTTATCCCGGCTGCAAACACGGCTACTGCAATGGCTCGAGCTGGCAGTGCATCTGCGATACCAATTGGGGCGGTATACTGTGCGACCAGGATCTCAACTACTGCGGCACCCACGAGCCGTGCCAGAACGGCGGCACGTGCGAGAACACCGCGCCCGATCAGTACCGATGCACGTGTCCGGAGGGCTTTTCCGGACCCACCTGCGAGAAGGTCGACAATCCGTGCGCGTCCAACCCGTGCTTGAACGGCGCGACTTGCCGCGAGCTCGGCGAGACCGCGCAGTGCGAGTGTGCCCCGGGCTTCGCTGGACCGTTTTGCGCGACCGACATCGACGAGTGCGCCTCGCAACCGTGCCAGAACGGCGGTACCTGCGTGGACGGCAAGAACGGCTTCGTCTGTAACTGCCCGGCCGCCTGGCAGGGCGTGCTCTGCCAGTTCGACGTGGACGAGTGCACGCTCAAGGAGTCGCCCTGCAAGAATTTCCTCACCTGCATCAACCTTGCTGGCGACTACAGGTGGGTACACCGGTCTTCCACTGTTATCTAGAAAAATTACACGCGTCATCAGCGGCTAGACTAGATGGGAACGCGCGCGTTTATCGTTTACATATCAAAACGGTTAATCAATAACATTTGATAATTATAATAGGAGAGATATGAAAATATTGTGAATTATGTTAACATCGTTCGTCGTGTATATTATTAACAGAATGAACATAAAGATACGTACTAACAGCGTCGTTTGGAGACAGGTTGATGTTATCGCGGGAGTTGGAGTTTCCGTTCGGCCTTTCTATTTTTTCGAATCACAGTGCGTTACATATAAATGATAGGTTTCCCACGGACGATGTAGTTATTGGAAATTAAGTCGTTATAGGCCATTTTTCTTCGTTCTTCGCAGTACGAGGCGTTAAACAATAATAACAATAATGTGTATTTTATTGTTCGACTTACGACAGTACCGTAATAACTCGCTTTACTACCCCCGTCGATCGTAAAGTAACACTGAAGAAAAAAATCATCGTATCGCAATTGAGTGACTGTGTTAAACATGATTTAAGGATCTATTAACTCGCCGTGAAAAACAGGCGAACGGCAATTAATAAAGCTACGTTCGCGTCTAAGCGATTTTCTCGCAAGTTGCAACTCTGTCACTCAGCGCAAGCTCTGTCGTTTTGGTTTGCAGGTGCCGATGTCGGAGCGGCTTTACCGGCAAAAACTGTACGAAGAATATCAACGATTGTGTCGGCCAGTGCCAACATGGCGCGCTCTGCATAGACCTAGTGGACGACTATCATTGCAGCTGCACTCCTGGCTACTCTGGCAAAGACTGTGACGTCGACATCGATGAATGCGCGTCCAAGCCGTGCCAGAACGGCGGCGAATGCCGTGATTTGGTGAACGCTTATGAGTGCGTGTGCCCGGTAGGCTTTACCGGCTATCAGTGCGAGATCGATCGAGACCACTGCAGCCCGAACCCGTGCCGCAATTCAGCACCGTGCTTCAACACACAAACTGATTATTATTGTCACTGTCCGACACAATGGCAGGGCAGAAACTGTTCGGAGCCAGCCTCGCATAATCCACAATTCGATGCATTGGACGACGAACAATCGGGTTGCGGCAGCGAGGGTACTCCGTGCGGTGGCAAGGGCCGATGCAGCGGCGGTAGATGCATCTGTGACCCCGGCTATACCGGCGTGCATTGCCACGAGAATATCAACGACTGCCGCGGCAATCCTTGTCTGAACGGTGGCACGTGCGTCGACTTGCTTAACTCATTCCAGTGCATTTGCAGGGAAGGCTGGAGCGGAGATCTTTGTGATCAAAGTAAGTAATAAGATGATAAAAGAAATATAATGAAACGAAAACTGTGATTGAGTTGACTAGACGATATAATGTGGAAAATTATTTCTTTCAGATGTAGACGACTGTGCGACGCAGCCTTGCCGCAACAACGGTACTTGTGTGGATGGCGTGGCGGATTTCACGTGCATCTGCCGGGGCGACTGGAAGGGCAAGACGTGCGCGTTGCGTCGCGGCCATTGCGAGCCAGGTACTTGCCGAAACGGCGGCACCTGCCAGGATCGCGGCGATGGTTTCACGTGCCACTGTCCGCGTGGTTGGGAGGGCCCGGCCTGCCACATCGCGTCGCCGTCGGCATGCACGAGTAATCCCTGTGCGAACGGCGCGACCTGCGTCAACACGGTTGATGGCAGCTATCGATGTGTCTGTCGCGAGGGTTTCGAGGGACCTAACTGCCGACGTAATGTGGACGACTGCCAGCCATTGCCGTGTCTGAATGGCGGCAAATGTGTGGATGGCGACAATTGGTTTAGGTGCGAATGCGCGCCCGGTTTCACAGGTCCAGATTGTCGCATTAATGTGAACGAGTGCGCGAGCGATCCGTGCACTGGTGGTGCCACTTGTGTGGACGGCATCGCGAGCTACTCATGCATTTGTCCACCTGGTAGAACTGGTCTACGATGCGAGATTCGGACGGCTGGTGGGCCTGGCTGCGCAGTTGCGACGTGGGAGGATGATTGCAACGTGTGCGAGTGTCGAAATAGCAAAAACCAATGCAGCAATGTTTGGTGCGGTCCGGGTAACTGCCTAAATGGCACTTCCTGTTTGGCTCATGAAGTCTGCGTTCCTAGTCCGGGTGAGAGTTGCCTGGCGCCACCGTGTCCAGCGTGGGGTGAATGCCGTCCTGTTGAAACTGGAAGGCGAGTTGGTCCACCGGCATTACCAGCTCCGCCATCCTGCTGGCCTGGACAATCTACACTCGGGCCAACATGCTCGAGACTCTCGATACTATTGCGTAGAGATACTCTGGCGTCTGGCACATCGGTGGAGTTACTATGCCGTCGTTTGAGGAAGCTTCTGACTGACCCAAGAAGACCGCAATCGGTGGTATTACTGTGTGATTTAAAACCTGGCGATAATGATACAGTGGAAGTAACCATCTTCTCGGAGGCGGCGGCGGATGCGGCTCGCGACCTCGGCGAAACACTCAGTCGGCCGCTAGCGAGACCTCTTGTTTTAGCCTCCGTGTTGGAAGTTAAAGTAGAGACGGCGCTGCTTAGCGAGCCCAGTTCGGCAAACGCTGCAAATGCTGGTGGCTACATAGCTGTTTTGGGTGGGGCTCTGGCAACTGTGCTGTTATTAGCATTATTCGGCAGCCTTTGGTATCTCAGAACTATGAGGCATAGATCGAATCTGACGGCGACTACCAGCAGTGAGACCTCGTTGCATCGCCATCGCAGTGATTTGGACGAAAAGTCGAACAATCTTCAAAACGAAGAGAATCTGAGAAGATATGCCAATCCACTCAAGGATCAGGATTCCGAACCTCGTGTGTCAGTTGTGAGACCTTTATCAGGTACCTCGCTCGGCACATTAACTGGCACTGAGGAAAGTCTCGAAATGGTGTCTGAAGAAAGCAGACATCGTTTGCCGCCGCTCTATAAACCGCCCAGCGCGGAAGCCAGGAATAATATGGCCAGTTTTAGCTATGAAGAAGGACCACATAAGCCTTACAGTAAGCCCAGATTGCAGGAACCGCCGTATCCTCATCAGCAGCCGGGTACAAGTCAAACGTCAGGGCCGCATCAAGTGCTAACGGTACACGTGTGATTAAATATTCTGAAAATAATGGGAAGAACAGTTGGATAGTGTGTGATCTTCTTGATTTTTCTTGGAATAGCGTACATGCATTAATGCACTAATGAAGATTGTTAGGGATTATAAGATAATATATCTATAGACTGAACTTACTTGGATTTGACCTTTTGTGATAAACGTGACTCTTGATTTTTGGATAATTATAGACAACTCTCTGCTGAGATTCTCCTTTATGAAAGTTGAAGTAATGTCTAAAGAATTATTATTAGACGGAATATAGAGAAAAAGAAAAGGATGCTTCTCGAGTTAAAATATTATGAGATAAGAATAAATTTTTAAACAATTAATGCGAAATTATTGACTTCATTTTTTTACTGAAAATTTAAAAAATAATGAAAATTCTTCTTTTCTTTCCTCTTTGTTCAGTTCTCTCGCGCTTCTGCATAACGACAATAAGCGACCGGCAATAAAAAATAATTTTAATAATAATCAATTGTTATCGTTGTACATATGTACATAGCTCGTACTTATTAATTTCGCTAAGCCTGTATCTCCTTCGCATTCCCTTCGGCGTTGCCATCCCTCTCCCTATAATTTTATATGTTTATATTCGATTCTATTACTCTTTTGACTTTTATGTCACCATTGTTAGCGCATTTTTTATTTTCATAATTTGAAAAAGTATACAAAGGTGGCACTGCCGCACTTATAAGATATATTGTACGTTTTCATGTATAATCGTCGAAGCCAAGTTACGCTCCATTTAAGATCGGAAGACGCATAATGTGTAAATAAATTTCACGAAAAGCGAAAGTTTTTTTTAGATATTATTCGAAACTATTATTATTAATATGTCGCGCAGATCGATCATACGTGCATAATCGCTCGATCGTCATACGTGTGCTTTGTATGATATAACATGGGCTTCAAACGTTCCTTCAGACGATATTATTGTGATACTCATAGAGGAAACAATGTCATTGTATAGGATCATATATGGTATTTCGTGTTCGACACTTGCTCGAGTTTTTTGTGAGAACACGATACGTGATTTTTACGCGATGAGAGATACTGCCATTGCGAGAGAGTATGCTGCATGACACGCTAAATTGCGATGGCACATTAACTTGTAAAGAATATATTAGCGATGTAAACGTAATGCGAATTTAGAATATACTCGAACGCAGTGAAAACACGAACGATGTATATAGTGACGCTATTGCATCGTGGAACGATGTAAATAAATCTAAGTACATATGTCCAGATCATTCTCATTCCCAGTCATCATCAACCCCATCTTTAGATGTGCAATTCGTCTTTTTATACTAGCGTTCCCTGTATCCTCTCTTAGCAAAGCGTCTACAAGACTAGTTTAAACTGAAAAAGATAGCTCGTTATAAGCATAGATTTACAACAGGAAGGAACAAAGTTTTATAATAGATACTTTATTTTGTAGAAAAAGCTATATATTATTGTATGAATACATATAGAAGTGAGAGATGACAATATATATATAAATATATATATATATTATATATTATTTTATATATTATATTATTTTTATTTTATTGTCTCATATTAATTATTTTCAGATCATAAGCAATAGTTGATTACTGTCACACAATTTTTTTCTTTACTTTCGTCGATTTTAAATGAAACGATGTTGGTAAAGATTTGTCGAACTAATGCTTTTGGTCTCCGATGCTAAACAGTTAAAGAATATCCACGCGTTATGTGATCCGTGTTTGATATTGAGAGATGTGCAAACGAATGCGTGTACATAAGCTCTTTCCTACAATTCCCTTTTTCCCTCCCCGTATAGATTTACATGATGTGAAGGATTTCAATAAAAAGTACAACCCTTCAATGCAGCGTCTGATTTATTGCACCTTTACATTAACACGTCATTAACAACATTCGATTCATTTCTGGCATTGAAATCACTGAGATAAAAGTGAAAATAAAAGAAGCACTTTTAAATTATTTTATTATTATATGAACAATCTTATATCTTTTTTCTGTTATTTTCGCATTAAGAAGAAAAAAATTGTGCAAAAAGCTACGATAAAATGATCGGAGAAAGGATTATCGTTAGTTCGTTAATTCGTCAATTAAGAAATCATAAGTTCATTTGCTTTGTCTCGAAGTTAGAGATACGGACAGTACGGATTTTATCAGCGGTGCCGATTTCAATGGTTCGTCACGATTGTTTCATTAGAGATAATGCCAGTGTCATTATCATCCAAAGCGCGGTCGAGATTAACAAAGCGCTCGACGAAAGCCATCTCGTCGTCGACGCGCCGATGCGACGGATCCTCTCGTGTACGAGGCACGTACTGAATGAACGATCTGCCGAAATTACAATACAATGGTCCAGAAGAGCCACTTGACAAATACCCGTTAGATGAATCATGCACCCCGCGACGGGCGAGATTATGACCCGTGTGAAACGCGATAGTAGCTAGTAGATGCGAGGCCGAAGAAGATGACTTCTTCCGAGCGAACGAACACAGAAAGAAAATATTTATTACTTTCGTCATTACGTACGTACAATACAAATAATTGAGAATTAAAATTTTGTATTGTTCCAAAAAGAGATAGAGAAAGAGAGAGATAATTTATTAAATATCTGTTTCAATCTCCGTAAAAAAATCTCTATAAAAAATTTGTAGCTAATTTCATACAACGGATTGTTGCAAATTACAAAGAATCATGTATTATGTCTTGATAATTTGATATTTATATTTATATATGGTATCTTTCGTTATATTATTAATTTTTAAATGAGTAATAAATACATTCGTAAATATGGATCTCACACAAGTATTCAAACAATCAACAATTTCTAAAATATCTTAAATATACCGTCTCTTTTAACAGCTAAAATATTATAAATATTATATTAGTTTTTTAAATTATTTTATACGTTTTATATATGTAAAATAAAATTGCATATAAATTGCATAAATAGTAATTAACAATAACGTTTAAGATATAATTACGAATAACCTTATATAAATTTGCAATCATTCAGACATTAGAGGATGTCGAAGATGTTGCTAAAACATATAAAAAAATAGATACGACAAAACACGACGAAGATGATGTTGAAGATGATACTAAAGACTTCAAGACAAAACTAGAAAACAAAGATATAAAAGAAGAAAAAAAAGATGAAATAGAGTCAAAAGATGATACCAAAATTCTAGAAAAGGAAGAGAAAGATGTAGCGATACCAGAAGTAATCGACGAGATTGACATATTGGCGAAATTTATAGTGCAATTTGAAGCAAGAAAGAGGAAAGAATTGGAAGAAAAAGCTGAAGAAAAGAAGAAACAACTGCAACAATTGATTGTGTAACTTGAGCTTGGTAACTTGGTAGCTTAACATTTCAATAGCACATACAGAATGTATTCCTGTATTCTGGCATTCTGATGTTCGCAGTTCGATCTTGTTAAAGATGTTTCTCTGATTTATGAATTATAAAATAGCACAACGCAAATAAATGTTAGGACCAATTCTATCTATTTTTTTAATTTCGGATAAATTTAATCTAATAGTTTGATAAACAAGACAGGTTAAACGAAAGAAAGAAGAAGATGAGGTGTCTGAGGAAACGCCGATCACTCCGGAAGATGAAGAAATCGCAATTGACCGGGTATCCACCGAGAGTTCGGTTCACCCGTGTTTGCGCGAGATAGAAATCAGTGATTCTCAATTAAAAATCGTGAATCCGTACACGGTGTATTCGATTCCGGACGATCCCGGATTGTCGCCAGCTTTCTGGCTGTTAGGCGAACGCCCGCCGATTTACAGCACGGACGGCGTGCAGAAATTCTATGATACGGTAAAACGTGCGGATTTGAGGCCGATCAGCTCAATGAAGGACATGCTCGTAACCGATCAGCTAAATTTGCGATATTACGGACTCGAACCGAAAGTAATGAGAGCAATCTGCGAGGCCTTGGCAGATAACACTTTCGTACAGAAAGTGGATTTAAAGGTATAAAAAATAGATTAAAAAAATAATAATTTATATGAAATGTATAAAATCTTAAATCTCAACATATACCTCGACACTTCAACAAAGTGGTAAAGTTGTCTATTTAAAAGTTACCTACAGATTGAAAACAAATCGTAACATATTATTTCACGTTGATTGAAAAGAATCATCTTTAAAATCTTATCGTCTTTTCAATTAACTGTTGTGTGTGTTTTATTATAGGACAATAGATTGTCCCCGGAGGCATGCGGATATTTAAATAATCTACTGCTCAGAAATAATACGATAATCGACTTGTCATTGTCGGGTTGTCGAATTGGCACAAGTGGTGCGAAAAAATTGTGCAACGCAATATCGGAGAACACAACTCTGAAGACGTTGGATCTTAGCAGGTGCGATATCGGAAACGAAGGTTTCGCATATATTGCGTCCGCGCTCTCTGAAAATCGAGACTTGGAAAGCGTTAATTTATCCGACAATCATCTGGACGAATCATGCTACGAAAATCTGCGGGATCTATTGTTGCGCTCTAAAATCTTGCATCTGGACCTATCGTGGAATTCTTTGTACAGCGCGAAAACTTGGAAAGCTCTGGTTGACGGACTGAAAAAAAACGAGGAATTGCGTTCCTTAAATTTATCTTGGAATTCACTTGGAGAAGAGTGTGTACATCATCTTCACACATTATTATTACGATCGCGGAGCATCGAGAAACTGGATTTAAGTTGTAATTATAAGGAAAACATATTAATGCTCTTGTTAGTTATTAATTAAAGAAGTAAAAAATGTTTGAAGATAATTTTCGGTATAGGACAGCTCAATTTCTTTGAAATGTATATTCTATTATAAGTGTTACATTTGTTTTTTTATAAATATAAAAAACAGGAGAGATTAATATTTTAAAATATAAACATTTAGTTTTCAGTCAAAATTCTTAAAGACTTTTCGTTAATAAATAAATGCATCAATCGCAAATGGGAACATTTTCTTTCTTATATTTCTTTCACGATCCACAGGGAATAGATTTACTGAAAAGGATGCTGAAATTATCGCAAAAGCTTTATCAAAAAATAATAAATTAAAGGAATTATATCTCGGAAATAATTCATTAAAAACACAAGGTGCCGCAGCTCTGGTTCGCGCAATCACACCGCAGCTATCACCTAATAGTGCTTTACATCTCCTAGACTTGGAGAACGTTTGGGCAAATAAGAATATTCTTGACAATTTGGAGACAATAAAAAATTTCAGACCGTGGGTCACAATCAAGTTAGGTGGGATTTTGAGTAATTATAAGATCATTGGACCGAATGTTAGGAAAATACTTCTAGACAGAGCGAACTACGAAGCAATGCAACCAAAACAAAAGAGACAACAACGTAACTTCGGCGACTTTGTGAAGTCGCTGGAAGATACAAAAATTAAGCGAAGTATGTTCACAAGAATTTATTTTTTCTTAGTCTTTTCCAACTTTAGAAGAAATTATATTTATTTGTATTTTTAAAAAACTTAAAAATTTTTTCATCTCTTTGTAGCAAACTTTATGCAGCTAGTGAAGAAGTTCAAACTAAAACTTTCAACGTCACTTGTCGATGAAATTATGAATGCATTCGAGGAATCAAAAGACATTGTCGATCAAGAACTGTTAAAATCATTTTATCTTAAAGAATATCCAGAAGAATATTCAGTAACTGAAACAGAAGAAGCTGCACTAAAATTAAAGAAAAGGAAAGTGCAAATTATCGAGTAGATTAAAAAACAAAAAGTATATGAATAAAAAAATACAAAAAATGAAAACTGATGGGAAGATAATAAAAAAATGAATAAAAAAATATATGAAAAAATGTATATTACTATTGTAATAAAAGATTGAGAGACAGACAATTTTCTTTTAATACTATGTTACATATTTTATAACATGATGCAACATAATGATTGCAACCTAAATAATATTTTACAAAAATTTATCAAATACTAATTACTTAATAATTACTAAGCATTTAATGAGGTAAGAGTAAATATCTGAATTTAATTTAATCTATATAAAATATTCTCGCTGCAATATCATCAACAATCCAATTGATACCATCGACTAGATTTTCGCCCGTCACAGCAGAGCATTTGTAGATTTGCCAATGGTGAGTTTTTATATTGGGCAACTCCAAAATGTCAGCTATGTCAGCTGCAGACAATGCGCCAGGCATATCCTGCTTATTAGCAAATACAAGAAGACTCGCCCCTTCCAATCTTTCTTCTTGCAAGAGCTTGTACAATTCAGTTTTACAATCATCCAATCTCCTTCGATCCGCGCTGTCTATCACCCAAACAAGCCCATCTGTCGACTCAAAGTAGTTTCTCCAATAGGAACGCAATGACTTTTGCCCACCCACATCCCATACATTGAGTTTGTATCCACGATGTTCCAGTGTCTTGATATTAAAGCCAAGCGTGGGCGATATAGTGTCTATTGGTTCGCCATTGAGTCTCTTTAACACTGTCGTTTTGCCTGCATTATCCAAGCCTCTGAAAATAATATAACATAGTATTGTTAGAAGGAAGTAATGGAATGTACATAATATTATTTCCAAATTATTGTCTCAGATGATTTAGTGCATTGTTAGTTCAGTTGACATAACACTTATTAACCTATTAACGCATAAACTAACCACATACTGAATATATAAAATAAATACACAAATGCGAATACATACAACATTAAAATTCGCATTTCCTTTTCTTTCTGCTTCAATTTTTTTAATACCGTTAACAAACCCATTGTCAATCCATTAATTAATTTACAATGTTCAGATCGTTGTTAGATAAACATTTACGTGCTAACTTTTCTTAAGTTTGACAGAAACATCTCTAACCTCAAAATCCGTTTGCATGTAATTGCTAGAAGCGCCACGATCTGTAATAAAGCGCCACAAACAATTCGCGCAAATTTTATCGTATCTTCAAAAATTGCGGTTTCGATCATTCGAAATATAAAAGTAAAAAATCTTAAAAGTAAAACGTAAAAAAATCTTAAAAATCGATAATATATCAATGGATTATCATTAATAAGGAGGATGCATTATCTAAAATTTTAAGAGAACTGCATTTAAGATTTGAAATTTGTCAAATCAATTTGTCACAAAAATCTAATTTTTTTAATATTGACGAAGCATAAGAAGCACAGATAATGTGAAGTTTGAAATTAATAATAACTAGCATTTCAATTCTCCAAAATCAAAATTATATTTTTTTTTTTTCTTACAATGAGCATGAGATTATGATCATATGTATAACTTACAATACTGAGAAGTTATTATAAAAAAAATCAATGTATACAATACGTAATATTTTACATGTTTATTATATAATATAGAATAAAAATTCAAGATATCGATTGATAATAGATTATTCTTGTAATTAAACATATCTTGTTAAAATAATTAAAGATTCACAGTTAAGTTTTCAAATTATAAAACATGATTGATTTATGTATATAATATTAACAGCAATAAAAAAAATTCATATTATCTCATATATAATTTCACATTTATATAGAATGTTAATTGTTAATTAGTATTATTATTAATCAGTAATAATTAATAATGTCTTTCTAATAATATTTTCGCTGCTTTACTAATAACTTCTGGATGACATAAGGCATTAATAAGAGATTCAAAGAATGAGTCATATTGAGGATTAGGAATATAATCGCCAGATGCAGTTGTTTCTTCTGACGGATATTTCTCTTTATCTCTTTTTCGTCTCTCTTCTATGAAGTCTTTAAGTTTTTGGTCGTCTGCATCAGGTAATAATTTGATGTAATAAGGATATTCTTCGGCTAATTCGGATGCACATGATGGCATAGGTTTAGGTCTTTTCATAGCAGTTGATAAAAATTTGCATCTCCTTTCTTTTTCCTCGTCTTGCGCATGTTCAATAGCACATTCAACCTATTAAGATAACATTATGAATTAAACAAATCTTCAATATATTTATTTAAAAAAAAAGACTTACTTCTGTTGTATAATAATTACTTCGTTTAATCCTAAATTGTTTATAGTCTGCCATCTTGGCTACTATCAATTTAACCAGAGCTTCCTCGACTCGTGCTCTACTGTCTGTTTTCAGTTTTCCCCATATATTAACACTCACGTTTAATTCATCTAAAGATTCTACATAATGCCACCAACCATTAGGTACAAATAAGACATCTCCAGGCTCCAAGGTTATCAATTTTGGTCTGTTTGGTATAGACAATAAACATTCTTTCTCTTCCTCACTTAGGCAATAAATATTAAATCTACTATATACAGTTGATTCCTCATAGGGAAGTCTAACTGGTATTAGAGGAGCATCAGGTGGATAAAGCAACCATTGTTTCCTACAAAAACAATAAGCAATAATATAAATAGATATAAGTCGAATAAATAGATATTAAAAAAATATACAAAACAAACCTGCCATGTATCTGTGCCACTAGATTGTAACCATATGTATCCCAATGACAATCCGTATGAGCACCTTTGCTTCCAATCCAAATAGTGGAATACATTCCATTTTTTCCAAATTCTTCATCAATCCCAAATTTAAGCCAGTTGAAAGATTCTATAATTTCCGTCTTGTCATTAAACCACTCTTTTATATGCTTATAATCACAATAATACCACATATTATTCGGTTTATCTTCTTTTACTAAGTTAGTAAATTCTTGCATAGTTAAGTAAATAGGTTTTGCAGGAGGGCTTACACACCAATGATCATGTTGAAGACTACACTAATTAAAATAAAGCAGATAAAATTGTCAATTGTGCCATTAATAAAATTGTAAAAAATATGAGCAAGCATATGTATTATAAAATATTGTTAAACTTACTGTACGCTTGTTATGATCACCAACACGAAATGGTAGCTTCTTATCGCCAAATTTTTCAACAAACTCTGTCAAACTCCATTGGAGTAATTTCCATTCATACGAACCATCAGACTTTTGTAGCATATTCTGAAATAATATGGGTTCAGTAAGTTCTGGTAGAGCTTTTCCGAGAACATCGTCCAATGGTTGTAAGCGACGGATCATATTTTATTATTTTATAACTTCAATTAGCTTATTTTTAATTATCTTATACAAATGTCACAGATGTAGTCACTCTATTTTATTTTAATGTCAAAATTAAACTTTTTAAAATTTTTAACTTAAATTATATAGACGTATACACATGAACTCTTTCAAAATTGAATTAAACTACAAAATATTAACAGTTTAATTTATTTTTCTCGGAAATAATCTTGTTTATAAACAGATCCGATCTTAACTGATGATGTGATGTGATATGGTGGTTTAACACTACATTCTAGCAGACTGATAAATTAAAATAACTTTTCTTGTGATGATTTTCGGTAACACAGTTGACTCTGATCTATAGCTGTTTTTTTTTTTTAGTTAGTGGGTGTGTTCTAAATACACTGTTATATTGAAATTATATATATATATATACTTATACAGATAATACTTATTAATATTTTGCAAAAAACTTTAAAGTTTAGCAGCTTTCAAAACCCTTTTTATAGGATCTAATGAGTTTTCGAAGTCCTCATTCTGAATTTAATTTTAAAATATTGTGTTTCCGGATCTAGTAATATTAATTTTGTAATCTGGTGACTTTGAAATATTTAAATTTTTTTGAAAGTCTGTAACCTCAAAAATTCTATTTTTGGAATTTTTCAATAACATTTAAATCAAAGCACTTAATTTGAGAGGATTTCTATGCTATTTCTTTGGATTTTCAACAACCATGATGCACGAATAACTAGATACGATACATGTGATGAAGCATTTATGATTCATGATGCCGAGTGTATGTACGTTAGGATTTGTGATCTTTCTCTGAAAGAGATTTACATTGCGCAATAAATAATTGAAAATAAACCGAAATGAAAAAACCTCCTTTACAGATGGTTTAATATACGAAATTCGATTGATATAAAAACGAAACTAGTTGAAATCTGTCAACGAAAGGTACATCGCCTTGTCGGATAATGCATGAATTGTTCTAACCTAATGCCTCAATTGATAACAATAATTGCTTTTCTTCCATCGTAATGACTGTTTAATTTAATTAACGATGCATTTCAAGACTATGTTTTATAAAGATTAAATTATCGTTACTTTTATCTGCATTTTGTTGGCTTTTTCTGTTATAAATTTATAGTGATGATCTTTGTATTGCGTTCGTTACATTCTATTTTCTTTTCTGGGTAAAATTGTTTACAGCTTTATTTAACATTGCATTAACTTTTAAAAACGAATTTAAAAAAGAATGGCAGTGATAACTCTAGTCCTTTTGTGACTGAAAGTTTTTAGTACGGTTTAATATGATCACGTTACGAGGAAAACTCAGAAGAGACAATGATTTAGCAAATTCAAAGAACAGAGACTATAACAAACGAGCTTCAGTACGAGATAGGTTGCTGATCAAAGAGGTATTGATATAATAATGTTACATATTATGCGAGTTTTAATTATTTAATTTTATATTGAATTATTTTTCTTAGGTTCAGGAAATGCAACAAACGCTGCCAGGAACTTGTCAAGTTAAATTCAAAGATCCAAGTCTTCTTCATGAATTTACGCTATTAATTATACCAGATGAGGGTTACTGGATTGGTGGTCGCTTCTCTTTTGAGATTTACATAAATGAAGAGTACAACATGACGGTAATTTTATATCTATAATCTTTATATAATTTTTATGTATAACATGTATATTGATATTTAAAAGTTGTATATTAAATTAGTGAGTATCACGTATCTGTTATAATACCAACTTGGTAACTTGTTAAAACACTAAGGGCCAATTTCACAATTTCCAATTAAATGATCAGTTATTCCATTGGAATTAACTAATCACATTTGTCGTTAAGCAGAATATATCAGTATCAATCATTGTTGACACCTAATCAGCTGTTTATGTTAACCAAAAATTACGAAATTGGCCCTAAAACAACTAGAAGAAGGATTGATTGTTAACATGAGGATTGATAAAAAAATAAAGAATTTAATTATGTTAAATTGTTTTTCAGCCACCAGTAGTGAAATGCGTAACGAAATTATGGCATCCTAACATAAGTGAAGATGGTGATGTATGTCTATCTATTTTAAGACAAAGTAGTATTGATGGAATGGGATGGGCACCAACACGCAAATTGAAGGATGTTGTATGGGGTTTAAATTCTCTTTTTACTGTATGTATATAATTATTTTTACTACATTATCTACATTGAATTAATATTTTAAATATATGTTTTTTTTTATATATACTCACATTTCTTTCAGGATCTTCTAAATTTTGACGATCCTTTGAATAGAGATGCAGCAGATTTGTATATTAAGGATAAAGAATCCTTTCGAAGTAAAGTTAAAGATTATATAATGCAATATGCAAAAAGATGATTTACGTTGTAACATTTTAAATAACAAGTAATTGTTTACACTTTTCAAATTGGTTTCGTGCCTTCTTTTAGTGTATGAGTACAGAATTTGCTCAAATGTGCTTTAGGTTGATTACGGTTTGACTCAATTTAATCTTGCTAGTCTTTTTACCTGAACAAATTGTCATTTTCAGTTCTACATAATTAAATTCTTGGTTGTGACGAAATTAATATACATTAATAATTATGACTTCTTCTATCATGTATGAAGAAAATGTAAATGTATGAAAATTAAAATTGCATCACGTGTACAATAATGTTTTTTCTCTTTACGAGACTGTAATGCCAACGAGCAATTTGTAAATAAAATATGTGTGTTTAATAATATATTTAAATAATTATAATTATAATTTATATATCTTTTGTGTAAGATAAATATAAGTATCAAATATATAAAAAATGTCTCAGATTAATAACAATTAGAGATTACAAGGAAAAGGTGCATTATTTTGTCAAATATTTATTTAATTTTCGTACAATGCTTAATCGACATTTTTTAATAAATTTCAAAAAATTTAATTTTTTATTTGTTATTTTATGTACCTTTTATTTTGATTTTTATTTATTAAAATATATAGACCACAATTTATTCATCGAATTAACGGACGGCTGAAAATTTGATTGCTGATAAAAATCAGCGAAATATCGACGATTGATCAACAACGATCTTCGATATAATTACAAGTTGTAACAAATAAATAATAACAAAAGAGAAAATAAAGAGATGATTTCTCTTTATCTTTCTCATTTCTCGCATTTTCTCTGCGCTCTTTAGATATAGATTAGACATACGCGAAGTGATAGGGCCATAATGTGCGTATATGTGCATGTGTATGTGTGCGCATGTGTGTGCGTGTGTGTGTGTGTGTGTGCGCGCGCGCGCGCGCGTGTGTGTGTAAATATAAATAAAAAATTGAAGCTTTTTATCGTTAGAACGTGGTCCGGAGCTCTTCTTGTATACTGGTTGATCTGATGAGTTTCTGTTTCGAACCCAATAAACTCTCGCTCGCTAGATTATCACTATCGGAAGCTGTTTTCGATTTTTCTTCGTGATATTCTTCGTTATATTCCTTCAACCTGTTACCTAGGAACACAGCTCTCTCGCGTTTCTTAATCATAAAATCGGTCGGCAGTAGCCACCGATGTTCATGGCATTCCTCCGGTATCGGTCTTTTGCTAAGGAAATTAATGTAATTTTTTTTATAAATATATAAAAGACATTTTACGTTTGATATTAATAATGAAAACTTTTTCAAGTCATTACCAACCTTGGCGCGCGTTTGAAGACCAACATAAGAAATCTGGTAGCTTCTTGACTCAGCTCTTTGTAAAGATACTCGAATCTGTATCTAACAAAGGATATGTTCTGCCTGGTCTCATCCGCATCCTTACCGCGGAACGGAGAAACTCCGGATAGCAATACATAGGTCAACACGCCAACCATCCAGATGTCCGTTTGGGGATAGACTAATTCATCATTGTACAACTCAGGCGATCTATATTCGGGATGACCCAGATGTTTAGGTACCATCGTGCCCAATTTGGTGACCCTATGAGCCGAACCCATGTCGACTAGTTTCACCTGCACCGATCTCACGGACGACATTACGACGTTGTCCGGCTGAATGTCCAGATGACAGTATCCACGCCAATGAAGATACTGCAAACCGTCGAGAATCTGCGTGATAGCGTTCGCTACGCAGTTCTCTGTGTACTCGTGCCGACTGGAGAAGTACGTGAGTATATCGGCGCCTTGAAGCTTTTCCATGATGAATACCACTACGGGAGACCCGGATGCCTTGTAGGCAGCTTCCAGCAAGGCTATTCGCTCGTGTCGCAACGAGCGTAACACCTCGTATTCTCGATTCACCTGCTTTTCCGTTTCGGCATTTACTTCCAGGATCTTGGCAACGACCACGCGATCCGTGCTCTTATCTACCCCCTTCACCACCGCGGAGAACTGTCCGCGCGATAGCTCCGAGATGAAGCTATACTTGGTAGATAGTTGCGGTTCTACCGACCATTCAATCGGATTTTTCTCGATAGAATAATCGATGTGCGACTTGTCCTCTTCCAGGGTGATTTCTTGACCGGCTTCGGTCAGCTCTTGAAGATGCCTCATCGCCCGTGTAATCTGTACCTTTGGGCAACCCGGTAATCGTGTCTTGATCAGCTTCGATGGGATGCCCTTTTCGCTCCAGCCGATGCGGTTGCGTGCTGCCAGACGGAAATTGTAGCTCGTGTCTGGCTTCAGATCGCGCACCAGATAAAACTCGTGGTCAATATTAGAGGCAACGTCTATCCAGTCAATCGAATCGCCTTCTTTGTACTGTAAATTATAACACAGTACGGGCGAATTGCCATCGTACTTCGGCTGTTTCCATCGCAGAAGAACTTCGGTGTCCGAAACATCGGAAGCCTGAAAAGGTTGTAAAATATTTTATAACACAAAAGTGGAAAGATTATTTCAATTTAAATTGATCTCTTACAGATTTAAAAATCATTACTGTACCTCTGGAGAATCCGGACCACAAGAAACCGTTGCTTGCAACACTCTCGTTCTAACAATCGTCTGTCCTATCGGATTCCTCGCCACAACTTTATATATTCCGATGTCATGCTCTTTTGTAGGATTAAAGCTAAGCATAGATCTTCCCTCAGAATCTTCCGTCACTTTGATTCTGTTGTTCTCTTGTATAACCATGTCATTCTTGAACCACTGTACCAGCGGTTTCGGATTTCCCACGGCTAAGCATGTAAGATGCGCCGGTTTTCCGTCCTGAATTGGGCAGATCTGCGGCTTTTCACGGAAGAACGGAGGTTGACCTTCCTTTTTCGATTCGATCATCGCTTCAGCTTCAGCGTAACTGTCTAATCGAGTACCCAGTTCATTTTTCAAACGTCTAAGTGTAAAAGTATCCGCCGAACCGTATCGATTGATGCGTGCCTTTCTCTCATCGTCGATCTCTTCGTCCATAACATCCGTGAAACGGCGACGTTCCCGTATGATGGGTGCCTGATAACGAAATAATAGAAAAGTGAAAAAAAGAATTTTGAAAATCGCGAGTGTAGCACGTTAATAAGTTGATAAATCATCTTCAAGCAAGTATTCTTTATTCCAAAGCAACCTTTTATACTTACCCTCCAATCAAAACCATTTTCTTCGGTAATAGTGCGCGAAAATCCAGGGCTACGATTGCACGCGACCTTCATATATTCACGTAATCGTACAGGGAAATCGGTGTCTCGTAGCTGAAGAAGATACGTGTCTGGACCATTTTGATAACTAAAATATAAATGGAAAGTGGAAAAATTGCATGACTTTTGCAAACATGTTACATATAAGAAATTACGTAAAATTTATGTGAATTTTCTATTTTTTATAAATAATTATCTTTATGATATTTTAAAAATAAAAACTTATTTATTTTGTGATATTTTCTTACTGGCTTTCACTTTGGATTATCCCAATTTCCGTATCAATTGGTTCTCTGGAAGGTATTTGATTTTCCCATGTCCTGGGCGAACGTTTTTTCAATGGGGTGTGAGTTCTGTCGGGTTCGGGTGTGAATTTATGTCCAGGCGGATATACCATTCGCGATGGATCTTCAAACGCTGTCTCTAGTTTGCGTCTACGATACCAAGTGCGACACGACGCGTTGCGGTACCAATCGCTGTAAAAATAGATTTTATTCACAATTTTTGTTCAAGAAAAAAATATCATTATATCTATAAAATATTAATTCATTTCTGCAAAATTAATTGATTTACCGATACAGTTTGTAATAATTCTTCAAGTTTTCAGATGGTATCCTGTAGGGTTCTGGTGGTGGATTATCAATATAGTTAAACCATGGATGAGCCAAAGCGGCCCTAACATCCATTCTTTTATCAACATTGTACATTAATAAATTACGAATGAAATCCTGTGCTTCATTCGAGATGTTCTTCCATCGATCGTCAAAGTCCCATTTGCCTTCTCTGATTTTCTTCAGCGTCTCTCTATCGTTTGCACCTCTGAAGGGCGAGATACCCGATAGCAAAATGTAGGTAATTATGCCAACGGCCCACATGTCCGCCGCGTAGCTGACACCTTCGTTATTAGTTACTTCCGGTGCGACGTATTCCGGCATGCCATATGCTAAAGTCATCAATCTATTTTGTGAAATTTTACGAGCGAGTCCGAAATCTCCGATTTTCAAATCGTCTCCTCCAGCGTGAGAGACCAACAAGTCGCCAAGCTGCAAAGAAGCATATTGACTCAAACATAGCAAACGCTATGAATCACATTTACCATTACATTTAAATTTATTTCCGTATTTATTTCCGTAACACAAACACAATTGCACAAGTTGCTAATTCTAAAAGAAAAAAAAAATGATTTTAATAACGCACCGTCAGACCAAGATGTGCGTAATAATTTCCATGCATATATTCCAATCCCCATAGCAATTGACGTATATAACGGGCGATGTCTATCTCGGTGTAGTGTTCTTGTTTTGTAAGGGTGTCTACTAATTCGCCACCGGCCGCTCTAAATTATCGTCATTAAGGATTGTCTTACTGAACATTGATTCAATTATATCATTTTCAAATATATTAAAATATATTAAATAAATTCTTAAATGTTATAATTAAAATAATTAACAACATTTTTTCGATGTTAATAAAGATATTCTAACATTTTAATTACCTTGATTAAAATTATAAATAAAGTAAATAAAAAATGGAAATGATAAAGGATACAGTTCCATAATCAGAGTGACCGAATCATTTGTCTCGAAGGCGTCGTGTAATCGTAGCAACTTGCGATGATGCAGACTGTTCATTGCTTCCATCTCATTATACATGAATGGCTTGAGATCACCGCGTCCGTGCATAATCTTAGAAGCGTAATTTCTTCCGGTGCTTCGTTCGACTGCGTGATAGGTCACGCCCTGAGTACCACGACCCAGCTCGTCACCCAGATCATACAAATCATCAAACGGCTTTTCGTGTGGTTTCACATCCATCTTCTTTCTGTACGTCCTGTATCCGTACTCGTGCTCGTTTTCTTCTACATGCAGCAATACTGAGCAGGATATCGAGCCAGCCACATTACCTGCGCTAATCGAGTAAAGACCCTCGTCCTTCACGATGGCATCGTTGATAATAAGCTTCGTGATATCTGGCTCAATGAACTGAATCTGATTAAGAAGACATAGTTTAAATTAAGAATTATTTTGAATATTTTTAATTAAAAAACAAGTTTCTTCTAATTATAAAATAGACTAATTATACTTCTAATTATAAAATAGCTGTTCCATAATATAAACTTGTGACATTGTACAATAGAAACGTGAACGCAAACATACCCTGATTCTGGAAGATGAAGCTATAGGTTTCCAATCCTTGTACCATTTGAGTTCCGGATAAGGAACGCCAGTTACGCGAGCGGTCAACTGGCCGTTTCTTCTCATCATCACGATGGTTTCTTCGGGTCTCTCGATAAACGTGGGATATTCGGCAATTTTTAAAATAACTTTCTGCCTAGCCTCGCCATGTTCGTTTCTAGCAACAGCCTCGTAGATACCCTCGTCTCTCTCCAACATCCTGTTGATGAATAAAGTTGCTTGGCCGTTTCTAGTGTAACTTTGATCATATCGACCGCCCGACTCAATCAATTGATCGTTGAAGTAATACGTCATTTTTGGCTTGGGATAACCATAGACGAACCAGAAGAGATTGCAATTGTGGTTCTTTACGCCATACTGGGTGTCATGTTCCTGACGTAAAAATCTAGGTGCCTGGGCATAACCATCGTGTGGTGGTCGTTCAATATCGAAGTCTTTCGGGAAGTAGGGACTAGTTTCAGGACGGAAATCGATACCAGGAGGGAGGTACGGGAAGAACTTGGGTGGTTCCGGTTCCAGTTTGGCGCGATAAGTTTGCGCGAACGGCGATGGATCGCTTATACCGTATTTGTTCTCCACACGAATGCGGAATTTGTAATCGCGAAATGGCTCGAGATTACGAATGTCACAAACGCAGCTGCGAATGCCACTGCGAGCAGTAAACCAGTCGCCATCCGGAAGCTCGCACATCTCCACCAAGTAGGTCACAGGTATTCGCGGCCCGATCGGGATGGATGGTTTCCACGAAAGGGTGAGATGTCGATCCACCATACGACTAATGATCGGTCGGTCCGCCAAAGGCAGTGGAATACCAGATTTTCGGTATTTGTCGTAATCCGTGTATTGATCGGCGAGAGATTTCTTTGCGCGTGGTTCCAAAGCTAAAAAGTGTATCGAAGTATGTAAAAATAATTTCTATATTTCGAAAATTATCGTAAATTATTTTGCAAGATATATCTTCGAAGATAATATTCTCTTTCATTTTACTTACATTCATAAACCATCTCCGCGCTGCACGAATCTTCACCGTGAGGATTGGATATCTTCAGCTCGTACTTTCCGGCATCCAGTTCATCCACATTGGCTATCGTAAGTCGCAACAGACTACCCTCTTGGTCCATTCTGATGCGATCGGTTTGCCAAAGCCGGTCGCCATTGCGATACCATTCGAAGTCAGGCTCCGGATATCCCGTAACGCACGCAGTGAACTTGGCTGGCATACCTCTGTAGACCTCGCAATCGCCGATTCTTTTCAGGAACGCCGGCGGCTCGACCTTCTGCATCTTTTGACTGGAATTAAATATTAACACATATAACACAATAGCTCGCGAAATTTCTTTTCTTTTCTTCAAAATCTTACATCTTATCGATCACAGTCAGATTTGCCGCGCATTCCGCCTCGCCGCCTTTGTTAACTGCTTTGCACTTGTACCGTCCTGAATCATCGTATGTGCAATCCTTCACATACAGACAGCAACTATCACCATCGCGCTTTATTCTGAACTTTTCATCGTCCTTCAGAATCGGTTTGTCATCGAAGTACCAAGTTAAATCTGGTTGCGGTATGCCGCTAACACGGACCGGGAATTTGGCATCAAACGTAGGCAACTGCTGCAAGTCTGTAAACCTTTGTGTGAAGGTCGGCGGCTGGTAGACCTTGCGGATGATGGCATTCGCACTTGTCGTATCTTCACCCTGCGGATTGCTCAATCGGCAGCCGTAGACGCCCGCGTCTTCGGGCTTGCACGGATCGATCTGCAAACCAACTTTCTTCCCGTCGCAACTCATTTTCACACGTTCCGATGGTTCAATCGGTTCGCCATCCTTCGTCCAGCTCACGTCGGGAATTGGATTGCCGACAAACGACACATCCATCGTCAGTGGCTGGCCCTCATCGACGGATACGTCGCGCATAGGGCTGGTAAATGTCGGCTTCTCTTCCGGTGTGTCTGATCTCATCTTGCCGGCAACATCCAGCTTAGCTTTGCAAGATGCGGTACCTTCCGTGTTTCCAGCTATCACCTGATACTCGCCAATATCTTCCGGTGTTGCCTTGTCGAGGATCAAAGCTTGACTGCCATCTGGTTGATCAACGATCTTTACATGCTTATTGTCCGGGACAATCTAAAAATAATTTTCAAAATATAGAAAAAATATTATAATAAAATTCTGTTAATGTTATTAAATATATACTAACTTCTTCGCCATTTAGCAACCACTTGAGTTCGGGCCTCGGTTTTCCTGTGGTCTTCACTTCCATTTTCACTGGGAAACCTTCGACAACAGTTTGCGGTTGAAGACTCGCAACGAATTCAGGTCTCTTCTCTCTTTCTTCAACTTCCACTTTAGCTGTACCCGTGATTTCACCGAGCGCGTTGGATACGATTAACGAGTAAGTTCCTGCATCCTCTGGGCGCACATGATCCATTCTCAATCCAATGAGACCATTCGGCTCATTCATGAAATACATCTCTTTCGTGTGTCTCAGTGGTATACCATCTTTAAACCACTGTACTTGCGGATTCGGGAACGCTAAGACTTGCGCTTCCAGTTTTAATGGTTGCCCAATCACAGCCTTTGTGTCTTCCAATGGTTTCGTGAACGATGGTTTTCTTCGTTCGGCTGTAACGAGTATAAATCAACTCAATTAAAATGATAATTACATTACGAATGATTTAATAAAGAGAAAATAAAATTCACTCACGTGTGACAGCGACGGCGCAAAGCGAGGAATTTTCACCGCTGGAATTCGAAACGACGAGTTTGTAAGCGCCACAATCGGTAGGTTTTACCATGTCGATCGTGAGTTTTGTGGTGCCATCCGGCAGAGTATTGATCTTTACGTGATCGTCCGGGGTAATTTTCTCGCCGTCTTTGAACCAGGCCACGTTGGGTATTGGGCTGCCATCCACTTTAGCTTTCAATTCTAGAGGCTCGCCCTCATCGACTTCCGCCGATCTTGGTAACGCTTTACCAAACGTAGGTGAGATCAACGTCATGGACAACTCGCAATTGGTTTGCACATTTCCGGCGACATTACTCGCCTTGCACGTTATTGTGCCGACATCCTTTGCGGAAAAGGTTTTGATAGACAGATTACTGTCCACTATACCATCCACGTGGGTTTTCACTTGGTACCGTTCATCCTCCTGGATGATCTTGCCATCCTTCAACCATTCTACGTTTGGCCTCGGAATACCGGTCGCGCGAATCTTCAACTCGATATCTTCGCGATCATTGCATTGCAATTTTGATAGATCTTTCAGGAAGGTTGGAGCTTCGGCTACGGAGAATGCAAATGTTTTTTACTCTAAATTCTTCTAATTTATTCAAAAAATATTTCTTGGCTTACCGTATTGTATTTGCGAATGTTATATCTTGCTAATCTACTTACTGTGAGGCGTAAGAGTCGCTTGAGCACTTGCTTCACCCAAGTAATTTTTTGCCACAATTGTGTAGACACCTTCATCTTCCAAACGGAGTTTTTTAATAATAAGTTTGTATTTACAATTTCTCTTATCCTCTTCGATGTCATATTGCTCGTCTTTTTGCAGCTCCATACCATCCTTCATCCATTTAATATCAGGTTTCGGATTTCCTTTGATAATAGCTTGCCATTCAACTCGTTCATCAACTGATTCGCTATGATCTCTAAAGGTTTCAATTTCCGGTTTCAATAGAAGATTCAAAAATGCCTAAAAAAGAAATCTCACAGTATTAATTATTTAATAGCCTTTTATATTTTATTACATTCTCTACATTCTGTTACTTACGCTACTTTCGGCTTCACCCCATTTATTTATTAACTTCAAAGTATATTCTCCGGTATCTTCTTTGGTGCATTTCGGTACTTTTAATGTAACTTTACTTTCTGTCAATTTGTCTGCTGCCGGTCCGTTAGTGATAGTCGATTTAATTCTAGAATCGTCAGACGGAATTTCATGATCTTTATAATACCTGAAAAAAATACAAGTGCATATATAAAATAATATAACATATTTTAATTTAAACAATATGTTTTAATTACACAATTTTTCGAGTATTTTTAAAATAAACTTAGAACGGAACGCATATGACAATAATGATGATTATATTTTCTTCTATTATTTTCTGTTGTGTCTTAACATTTCTACATTTCTTAAATTTTTAAATAAAAATTTTTTTTCTTAAATTTTTAAATAAAAATTTAAATAAAAAAAATCCTATATTTTATTAAATATTAGATACTATAGACGCTGCGCTATTTATCTTTTTAAATAAAAAGAGTAAAAATTATATAATACTCTATTATACTATTAAGTAGATATTGACAATATCGACCTATCGTTGAGCAATCATGATCTCTCCGATAGATGGGGCGCGCGTATGTTTCACGGCGGCGGCATATCCTCAAAGCGCTTGTATTACACGTGTTTTCACACTTTTTTTAGGAAGGCAAAAAGGTGTGAACATGAAAACAAAAACTGCGAGGGGAGTACTTTTATGGTTTTTTTTTCACTTGGATGCACCTGCGGATTCTTTAAAAGGCTATAACTTCTCAAAAAATCGACGTAGAGACATGGGACAAAGACCAATCTTCTTCATTTTGCATTCCGCAAATGTTTATGGTGAGTACGTATATTCTTATCATGACACGTATCATGTGTATACAGGATGCCAGAATAAAATATAAAATGTCTCGTAAACTATTCATTTTTTTGACATTTGTACCTTAATACTTTTTTATCCAAAATAACTAGAAGAATAAAGTGGGATACCCTGTACATATGTCTATAGTAAAAAAGAAGAAAAAACCTATAATAAATTATATTATAATATAAAAAGAAAGTCATTAATAAAAAAATATTAAAATTTATGCAAAAAAAATATATAGAAGGAGCAAAAATTATATTAGTGCTATTAACCCTTTGTTACAACACAACTATCAAAATAATCTTCGCAAAGTAATGAAAAAAGCAATCGGCATCGCGGAAAAACGATAATAATAACTTTGATACATTCAAGTATCGACTTAACGTGTCTTTTTTAGAAATGGACTTTGGAATTTATGATATATATTATAAATATATACCATCTAACATCTGGAATCGGATCAGCAGTGAAGACAGCTTTAAACTCGCCATTATCCTTGAAAGCGACGTCGACGTCACTAAGAGGTTCGCTAAATCTTGGTTTTCGGAGTTCATCGACGGTGCCGACGGTTAGATAGCCTTCCACGATTTCTTCGCCTAATTTATTCGTTAGAATGCACGTGTAGACACCTTCGTCTTCAAGGGTGGCTTTGCTTAGGTCCATCTCATATGATTCTCCTGAAGTCGTGATCCTTATCCGTTCCCCAGTTCGAAGAATCTTACCATCTTTGAGCCATTTTACGTCTGGTCTTGGTAAACCAGTGGCATTCACCTCGAATTTCGTATTCTGTGTCTCGAAGATTGTTCGATCGGTGAGATCTGTGCTCACGACATGAGGCGGAGCTACGAAGAATAAAAATGCAGATAAGATCATTAGTCAAAATAAAATTTATTTTACATGGAAGCATGCTTTGTTTAAGCGAATCCTTCTTCCTACAACAAATTGATGGTAATTACGATGTATCAGAAAACGAATGTTTTTAATCAAATTATTCTTCATCAGAAAATTATGAACTTCTTTAATTTATTAAGATAATTTATGTTTTTATAATATTTAATTTATCTTATTTCATATGATATTTTTTTATATCAATTAATTCAGATTTTTAAACGTTTAATTAATTAAAATAAACTACTATTTAAAATTGATAAATAAAAATATTACTAGAATATAAATATAAAAATATTACTAGAATTTTTTAGTAAATAATCTTTTTTAAATTTATAAGTACATATATAAATCATAATAGTGTTACGTCCGCGGCGGTCACTGACGCTCTCACTAAACACGCGTTCGCGCTCGGCAATAAATAACGCCGCTTTAAAATACGTAGGCTTTATTCAAACTAATCAACAACAACAATTTCGCGGACACACATCTGTACGCCACGAGTCACCGCGCCGTACTTTTGTAAACAACACACGTTGCGCTTTTGGAGAGCGCTTTCTCTAAACGGCGATTCGACTCCACTCGGCCGCAGAAGACTCGGGCATAACACTAGTATATCTTTCTTTAAAAAGAATATTATAGATGTAAATCCGATGCTTATATATTTACTGATATCTACCATTATCATTCTACCGTTATCATTTTTTATCACTCAAAATTGTGCTATACTCAATGAACATTACACATTCTTACTAATATACTTACCTAGAAATTCTTAGTTAAGTAGGTGCTCAGCAAATTGCAAAGTGAAGATTATAAAATTAATTATCGTATTTTAGAGTAAAAGCTGCAATCTTACCTCATATATCTTTTATGTTGGTGAAGAATAGTGCAAAAATCAACGTCGAAGTTCTAATACAAATAATCAATATTTGGAACGTATGGAAGCATAAATTATAATAAATAACACATTGATTAATATGAATATTCAATAAAACGTATCAATATATCAATATATTAATATATTATAATATATTATAATATATTATAAATGTCAGAAGAAATGAATAAATAGAATTTCAAAGAATAAAAAATACATTTTTATGAATTTTCATCATCAAACTTTTCAGATATTTTATGTTTCCATGCGAGCATGCAAATGTTAAAAGTAAAATTGTGAGATAACATGCAAAAAAAAGGAGAGGCGAGAGAATGATAATGAGATGGCTCTGTCAATTATAGCAGAGATGAGATTACAACATGTTGATGAGTTGTAACGCTGAGAGATTAAAGTTAGAAGCTATATACTGAAGCTACCAATGGAACCTCGCGGTCGTACCTGACTCTCTGCCCGATTCTTTATCGAGGATTTCGTCTAACACACTACGTTGCCGTTTAACACGAGCTAGAAGATTTTTCATATCTTCGTCAATATCCTCGTCGTCGTTGTCGAGCTGCGCCTTTTGAGAATTTTGTCTCGACAACGTTTCACTCGACAACTCCGAGGTTTTCGTTTTCTCAAACTTTATGGTTTCCTTCGACAACTCAACAGCTGTTTCTGGACGATCTAGAGTTTTTTCCGCGACTTTTTTCGCTGGACTCGCGTCGCTGATGGTAGAACTCTGACCGGGTAAGTTCGCCGTTTTCATATCCAAACTTTCTCGCTTCAGATTTTGATTCGATAGCGTTGCCGATAACGGTTCTTCGGAAGACAGCTCCTCGGCGATGGTTTCCGTAATCTTGGAGATTCTGTGCAGTTTAATATCCTCCAAAACTTTTTCCCTTTCTGGCGTCTCGTTGAAAGAAAACTCATTGAGAATTCCGTTTGTCGCTTTTTGATCCTCCGGGAGTTGATCAGCCGTTTGTACATCCTCCGTGCTGACGTCCCGCGAAAGTGCCTTCAAAGTTGATTCGTCATCAGAAACAGAAACGATCGTGACACCTCGATTAATATCCAAATTCGACTTTTTCTCCTCAGTTTCCGAAAATTCTTCGATCAGTACGCCGTTCTGCGGTTTTTCTTCTTGCACAGTGTAAGCGTAAGAAGCAACTTCTTCCACGTGAGGTCCTGAACCAATACCAAATTCTCGACACTCTACCTTGGTCGCCGTCATCTTGCTGATCGTATGACTTTCGCCGGGACCTGCGAATGGCCTGACCTAATACCTTCGACTACTAGCATTCCGCGTATGATTGCGCGAAACGGGTATCTTCCGTATTTTTTAGAAATTCGATTTCTTTGTATGATTAGAGAATTGTGCAATTACCATAGAGCTATCTCCATAAATCGCATGCTTATTGCTCAAATCACGCGGCGTATGTCATAATATGTCAAATAGAGATTCGATTACGTTGAAAGTAGACGATGATGAAAATTTTGAAGCAAAGTTTTTCAGACTTCAGGAGACGCATTACATTTTGTATTCCCCGTTTATTTGCATATTAGTTGTTGAATATCTAGACAACACGAATGTGTCTAAAAGACCTCTATAAAGATATAAAAGTCTTTTGGATTTTCATGTTGTCTAGATACTCCGATGTATAATAGTTTGTTTTTAACGTGATATGTGTGAGATTACCTGTAAGTAAAGCTTCGTGTGATGTCGTGGAGGCCACAGATATCGTAATTGTTTCATTGTCCCCTTGAATTAGTTGAATGTTTTGTTTCTCCAATTTGACGCGACCTAAATTTATCAAATATTGTTTCTACCGCTAAATAATTCTTAGATACTTTTTCGATATTTCTAAGTTATGTAGCGTGCGTGCGAATTTCTGCGTGATAAATTACGATACATAATGCGGACCACAAAAATCTATACAATTTTTTAAAAACTTTATGCGCTTAAACAAATAACTTATGAAAAACATTCGATAACAAAGCGACATTATCTGTAGCTAACTATTAATTTTGAGATATCCAATCAATGAAAGTGTATATGAAAACGAAAAATCAAACAAAATTTCAAAAATCCAGATGTTGCAAAAAATAAATTTGGTTCTAGCATGCATTATTCTTTATATTATCTAAGAGACGTTTTCTTTCCTAGCGTAAAATGAAATCCTTGTCGAGACGTGCGATATTATGAGTGCTCTTGTAATTGTCAAAGCGTCGTTGCATTTTAAACGAAGCAAAGTCAAAACTCTGTGTTTTACACCCTTATATACATTCTATGAATTAGCTAGGGAAATTAACCGGCATGATTACCTTCCGATTCTGATTCTTCACCACGTAGAGTCGTTTGCGACAATTGCTCTTCCACTAATTTCTTCGCCTGCGTTTCTTCCACCTTTGTCACCTTCTCAGCCTTTTCTCTCGGAGGCTGTATCTTTTCATCTTCCGTTTCAGCTACGGAAGTACATTTTTTCGAGTTTTTGTCATGACGTGCTTCAAGACGCGATATGTCAGCATGTTATGACACTTAGAATTGGAAAAAGAGATCAGAAGAGGGTGGAAAATTTATAAGAATAAATTTATAAAACAGAAAGACAGGGAACACATTTTGCGTCAACGTCAATAATGTGACGCGTCACATTAAATGATCACACAAAATGGTGCTCTTCCCTTTCGTTTAAAGAAATCAGGAGAGTCTACGTTTTCTACACACAAATCTTTTACAACTAAAAGAACTAATATATAATTATAACCATGTAACTATATAAAAAAATTTTTTGGTTGAACCTCGTCATTAAAGGCCATTAAAAAATTCCCAAAATATTATATCGGGAGATATGAGAACAAAATGAAAAGGAATCATACGGTTTCGTTTATAGATTTAGTACTTACTGAATGTTGTCGAAACACGATGACTTTTACCGCTGTTATTTTTTTCAAAATTAGAAATGTACGCTATTTATTGCTGACCATTGTTCCGGCAAATATCGACATCAGCTGTCTTTGTGAAATTTTCTTAATTCTATCAAAATTATTCTCGTATTTAACTTTAAAACTCGACTGTATCAAATATGATTTTTTACACAAGAAAAAATATTGCTGCGATCGAATTTTCAAACATAAATTAATTATTTTTTTAAATACATTTATTTTGCAGTATATTGCGATAATATTATTATTATTCTAGCTTATGATATCTTTAATTAAGCTCGCGTTGAATAGAGTCGAGTTTCAAAGCTAGGAAAGAGGATGAGAAGTCGTGGAAACTTACTCATTACGATGACTTTACTCTTGCTCGTGACGTAGCCTAGCTCGTTTTCTGCCCGCACTTCGTACAAGCCTCCGTCGCTACCTTTCAGCAACGTCACCGTTAAATCGTAGCTTTCCTTGCGTTGACTGTCCCTAGTGATCTTGATTCTGGCATCCGCCGTCACTTCCTCGCCATCCTTGTACCATTTAACTTCCGGATCCGGTGTAGCAGATACTTCGAACGTCAATTTCAGTGTGTCACCCTCTTTCAGCCTCTGGTCCGCCAATTTCTTTAGCAATTTTGGCCGAGTGTTCACTGTCAAGTTGGAACTACTCGAATTCTCGCCATATTCGTTCTGCACTTTGCAAGTGTAACAGCCTTTCAGTTCTGTCTTCACTTCTTTAATGATGAGTTTGTAATTATCTCCCTCCTCCACACGAGTGTACTCTGTACGTTTCTCCGTAATCTCAATATCGCCTAAGAACCAATGAACACTCGGCTTTGGGAAGCCCTCGACCTCAACCACAAACTCGACGTTCAACTCGCCCTCATTCGCACTGATATCGCATAGTTTCGTCTTAAATCTGGGTATACCACGTACCTGTAATAATTTTGAAAAAGTATTAGGACTACAGAATTTAAAGAAATGCTTGCGAATTTTTTAGTTAAGTTTCAAGTGAATTTCATTTAAACAGGATTGCTTCAGAATATGTTTTAAATAAAATAATATATTAATACCCTGATTCTCGTCTCGTCTGAAATCGTTCCATGCTTATTCACCACCTCGGCCTTATAAAATGCCGCGTCTTCCACCTTCGCGTTACTAACTGCGAGTATATAATTGTTTCCGCTTTTTGTCATTTTCACGCGGTCGCTCGCCGTCAAAAGCTGTCCATCTTTGTACCAGTTGACCGTCGGTTCTCCCTCGGATTCCACCTCGATCAAAAGATTTAATGTGTCGCCTTCATTGATCACTCGTGATTCTCCCAATCCCTTCTTGATCTTTGGCGGACATCTGATGCCGACCTTCCAAATGTCAGTTGTCTGATTGATATCGTTTCGCGCGACAATCGAGTATGAACCTGCGTCGGTCGGTTTGGCATTTTTTATCACAAGCTTATACGTATCATTATTCTCCTTGATAATCTTGATACGATCGCTCTCCTCGATCAGCTGACCATCCTTGTACCAGGTTACTTCCGGCGCCGGAGTGGCCTCCACTTGCACGGTCATCGTGCCTGTATCTTCAACGAGAATCATCATGTCGGATTGTTTCTTCGTGATTTTCGGCGCAGATTTCACGATCAACTCGATCTGCGTATTATCCTCTCCGAGTTCATTCTTCGCCGTGATTTTGTAAATGCCAGCATCTTTAGCAGTAACTTGTTTAATCACCAACGATAAGGACTCTTCGTCTTCCCAGAGATATTTGATTCTACCACCAGCTATGATCTCCTGACCATCCTTGGTCCACTTGATGTCTGGCTTAGGATATCCCTTCACCTGTAGATCTAACATCGCGGAACCACCAGCGCTCACTTCGGATTGCTTCGATTCCGTTTGAAGTTTCGGCTTTTCTGGATCCTTCAGCAATTGATTTACTGCGCCCTGCACTGTCAATTCCGCGCTGCAGCTAATGTTACCTATGTATTCAAGAATTTTCATAAATTAATATACATATATCTGTAAAATATGCAGTAAACGTTAAATTAAAGTTGTTAATCTTCACCTGTGCTGGTTTGTGCCACGCATGTGTAAAGACCGGCATCTTCAGGCTTTACATGCTGGAACACCAATGCCAGAGTGTCTTCGTTATCCTTAAAAAGAACTTTAAATCTCTCTTCAGGATCAAACGCTTGTCCATCACGCGTCCAAATAAATCGTGGCTCGGTTCCAAGTTCGAGAAGACCCTCAGGAAGACCTTGGAAAAGTGGCTTTTCGTCTGTCACTGTCACTACCGCTTCGCATGTAGCCTCGCCATAGCGATTCATAGCTGAACATGAATATTTTCCAGCATCCTGTTTTTGTACGTCAGCGATCACCAGTTCGTAAAATCCTTTCTCGGCGTTATCTCGAATAATCTTTACGCGTTCGTGCTTTGCATCGATCAGAGTGCCATCCTTGAAGCTACGAGAGAGTAATAATTTATTAAATTTATTGGTGTATTTTTAACTTCTACTTAGACAAAGTTTAAAGCTTACAATTTTATTTCCGGATTAGGATCTCCTTTGACTTTAATCATGAAACGTAGATAAGTATTTTCAAGAAGTTCGGTATCTTTCAGACGCACTAAGAATATAGGAGCATTCGCTTCTGCTCTTGCTTTCTTCTCTTCCTCACTCACTGCAATATTTTACATCAACAAAATAGAAAATAAAAATTATCGCGTTTGGAATTATATATGTCGTAATATTGTAACTTACATTGTTGAACTATTAATTGAGCAGTGCATGTCGCTTCACCGTTTGAATTCAGAGCACGTGCGATGTATATGCCGGAATCTGATTCGTGAACGTTTTGGATTTCAAGTTTACATATATTATCACTTATCGTGGTTGTGACGCGATCGGCCAATTTGTCCTCCATCGGTTTGTTATCCTTCAGCCATTGCATTCTGGTGGTCGAGTCACTTGTTAACATGACGCATTCAAAAGTGGCAACTTCTCCGGCTGCAAAAAACAACTTCAAATTAGCGCAAAGCAACAACTTTGTGATTCCGAAGAGAATGAGAAGATGATAAGAAGCAAATCCATCAATTCTGATGCAATCGTCCTGTATCTAAAATACTCAAGTGAATAGAATCATATATGTATATATATTAACATAACATTTTACATTTCTTTCAGCATCGAGATAGAAAGAAATGTAAAAATGATTTTATAATAGATTTATCATAATTATATATGGCCAGCATGATAACATACCATCACTATTACATATACATATACATATCGAGTGCGATTCACATATAACACTGTTTTCGACATTGTGAAGATATACATATAGTGCATCAAGGAACAAACTTTAAAATATAAAACACATATTGTCGTTTGATAATTGATAAAAAATTGGTTTGCCAAAAAGCTTCAATGAGAATATAAATATAAATATAAATATATATTTCTAAATAAATGCCTCGATGTTGTTTTATTCAGACGATTGAGAGACGATTGAAGAAGCAAAAGTATAGTATAGTGTGAAAATAGTACGTCAGTGGAAATGTATGTGAGTGTAGAAATAGTAGAATAATATGTCAGTGTAGTGAAATATAAGTGTTTAATGTAGATGTGTATACAGCAAACTATATAATTTAGCTATAAAGCGTGTTTAACCAGCAACGTAGTATTACGTCTAAAAGCAGTTTGCTCTATTGGCTATAAGAAGAACACGAAAAGATACGTGGAAGAAATGTAAAGAATAGAGTGAACGCTGATAAACTAAGCAAAGTATGTATCACTTTACCTATGGCGTGTATCAATGCCTTTTTTGGTCGCATCGCTAGAACAGTAAAAAATGTATCTGTATGTCTTGTGATCAACGGAGAGAGGAATGTACGTATTATTTCTAGCGATCATCTAATGCCACTTTTGTATGCCCTGAATTATTAATCGGCAATTATGTAACCGTAATTGATGAAAAGTTTAAGTCGCATACTTACGTTCTACATTGCAACCTTCTATCGTCTTGATAAACACCGGTTTGCCAGCGTCGGTGCCAAGAGTGACTTTAGCAGATCTGCTTTCAATATTCGAGTCCATGGCGGCATCACCAGCGATCGCAGTCTCGTAGGACGTCGTAGTTTCTGATATTTGACCCATCCCTTGCGATGAGGAAGACATTCTCGTCTCGATGGCAGACGCCGCAGATTCCATGTATGAAGATACGCCATTACGACTGCTCGATATCGATGAATATTCTACAGACGTATTAGTTGGAAACTATCTTACTACTTGATATAATACCTTTTTTAAAATTCAAATTGGAGAACTTATTTTTATTTCTGGATACTATACTCAAGGTGCAGTATTTATCAGCGTTTTAATTCTGCCGAAAGTGATAACTCAAAAAAGATTTTTCTACGAACTAAAATTCATTCTTCAATTTAACAAGTAAATGTAAAACATAATAAGCGTTGCAACTATGACATACATTTGGCGCAACATCGATTTACATCGCTAACTGTAACGAGCTTCCCCATGCGACACCGAATTACAACGAAAGATTTCTGCCGACATTAATACAATCTTACAATTTTATCAACTCTCACCTTCCACCACTTTCGAAGAGGCACTGTATCGACTTGAGGAATATCTTCGAGACATGTCTGCTTCTGTTTCTTCGATCTTGGTCTTCTTTACCTCCGATGTATCGGTTGTGCCCACGGAATCCTTTCTCTTCTCAACAACTTTCGTGGAGTCCTTAGTTGTGTCAGTCTTTGGTAGACCCGGATTAGCCTGAGCTTTAGGTGATTCTGGATTTGCTTGTGCTGGTTCGATTTTCACTGGCACCGGTTTCTCATCGCTCTTCACTTCTTCTTTACTTTCCGATATTTCTTCGGTCACTTGAAGATCGTCCGCTGCGTGTTCGGCGAGAGCAACCAAATCACTGGCGTACTGACGGATTTCTTTGAGCCAGTAAGCTTTCACGGGATCCTTGTGAGCTACTAAAGTGATGGGGTAATTGGGTGCAGCCGGATTGTGTAATTCGAAAGATCGTATATCATCGGGATGATCTTTTACTTCTACTTCTGGTAACTAAAATAAAATGATCGAGTTTATTGCATTACTTGTATGCTGTAATCACAATGTCATTTTATTTCTTTCTTACTCGAATAATATCCTTTAGGATGAAAACCGATCTATCTTCTGATATCCGTCTGACTTTGCAGATAAGAATTCGTGCTTTAAATAAGAACAAATATCTTTCCTTGTTTTTTCCTTCCTTATCGATAACTGTGTACCATTCCTGAGTAATGCAATCTTTATTTAATAAGAAGTTTAATACCTTATAAATACTTTAAATGATTTTTTTATGTATCTTTAATCGGCACAAAAAAATAACAGATATTAAAACAAATTTCTCTTAATTATTTCTCTTAATTATTTTCTCTTAATTATTTTTCCTTCAGGTTTTTTAATTTTTATACGCACATGCGTGAGTAATCTACCAAGTTTGTGAATGTTCCCTTTGTACCCTTCGATATTACTTATAAATTTATTGTCGGTTGCCCTATGAGGGATTCCTAGCATCAACTCTAATGCCTTTTGTAAGTCGTCGCAGTTTTCGCCTAATCGAGTCGAATACTTCACCAGCTCCTGCAAAAAATATGCATTCGTTAATTTTATTATGTATTGAACATTTATATATATATTTTTGTGAAATAAATTGAAACGAGATTTCCCTTAATCCGCCTAAGATCGCATGAAAAATAAGAATTTTGCGCAACATCGTAACTCTTACCCTTGAACTGAATTAACTTGTATCTTCGATACGATTATTACCTTCGCAATTTTCCACGCTTGCACCTGTCTCGTGTTTTTGCACAGAATTTTTCGAGATAGAGCTAAATCGTGACTGGATAGATAATCTACTACGTGGACGAATACATTTTTAGCTCGCTAAATTCGTACAACGCCTACACATTCGTACAAATAC